TGTGTCTCGTTATTGAAAGGGAATTTGCAGCATAATCACCAGCTCTTTTTAGAGCTCTGCCCCTCTACTGCTCCAAGGATCCAGCTGATGGGAGTTCACCTCTTCACCTCAGCCTAGCACCTGACCCGGACACAGGACGTCTCCAACGGCAAATACCCCTCTCCAATCTGGGTAGCCGTTACACATAGTTACATAGCTGAAAAGAGACTTGCATCCATCAAGTTCAGCCTTCCTCACATTTGTTTTTAGCTGTTGATCCAAAAGAAAGCAAAAAAAAAAAACAACAGTTTGAAGCACTTCCAATTTTGCAACAAGCTAGGAAAACAATTCCTTCTTGACCCCAGAATGGCAGTCAGATTTATCCTTGGATCAAACAGTTATTACCCTAAATTGTAAGATTATATCCTTGAATATTCTGTTTTTGCAAGTATGCATCTAGTAGATGTTTGAACATCTGTATGGACTCTGATAAAACCACTTCTTCAGGCAGAGAATTCCACATCCTGATTGTTCTTACAGTAAAAAATCCTTTCCTTTGCCTTAGACAAAATCTTCTTTCTTCCAGTCTAAACGCATGACCTCGTGTCCTATGTAAAGTCCGGTTTGTGAATAGATTTCCACACAATGGTTTGCATTGGCCCCGAATATATTTGTATAATGTTATCATATCCCCTCTCAGGTGACTAAATAGGTTTAATTTGTTAACCTTTCTTCATAGCTGATATGTTCCATTCCTTTTATTAATTTTGTAGCCCACCTCTGCACCTTTTCTAGTGCCTGTTCCTTCTTTAGAACAGGTGCCCAGAATTGCACAACATATTCAATATGTGGTCGTACCAGTGATTTATAAAGAGGCACAATTATATTCTCGTCTCGAGAATGAATGTCCTTTTACATGCATGTCCTTTTACAATACCCTACTGGCCTTGGCCACTGCTGATTGACATTGCACATTTTTGCGTAGTTTGTTGTCTATAACAATTCCCAAGTCCTTTTCGTGTGTTGTTATCCCTAATTCGCTTCCATTAAGGGTATAAGTTGCTTGTGTATTCTTTCTGCATTTTTCAACATTAA